CGGTTGTTGTAAATGAAATTTTGATAACATCGATACATAATCTAATATAACATAAATAATTGTTGAACGAAAATGTTCTCTACATTGCACAACAAGATGAGTCGATAATCTGAAAAATAGATCATAATTAGTGTACAAATATCTACATTTAACGAATATATACATACTTGCTTATATTTCTCGCTGCATCAACAATTAAATCTAGTTCACTAGCACTATTCTGATATTGTTTCAAGACATTTTTTGACTGTATTACGGTTGCATTCAATAACACTAGAAAAACAAAATAGATAAATTTATTTTTAATAGTTTAAAATTGAATGAAGATGGGCACCTACATTTAAGAATCAATTCAATAGCTGGTACATTTTTGCATAATGTATTTGAATGATGTTTTAACAGTTGTGATACGATTTTACAACATAATTCTTCTATGATGAGAAATTCGTGAGGTTTAAATAATTCCAATGGTAAATGTAAACAACATTGAAGAAAACTCATAGCTGTTTGTGAACGAAGTTTTGACTAAAATAAAAAATACATATAAAATAGTGAACTAACTATTCTAAATAAGTTAGAACTAAACACTTCACCTTTCTTGAGTTTAATACATGAAAACAAAATGTTAAAGTAAATTTAATAATTTGAAAATATTCTTGAAGAGATTCATTATCACTAAGCCTATTAGAATATAATAAACTTGTACGAATTAATAATGGACCACATTGACTAGAAATCTAAAAGATAATAATAATAATAATAAAAAATTTATTAGATTTATAGAATTAATATTTTTTGTTTACCTCATTGATTCTACTTCCAAAATGTAAATCTTTCTCTTTATCTAATTGACATTCTAGTATTGTTAGCATAAACATTAACGATTGTTCAAATTCTATGACACTAACAACTGGAATAGACTAGAATAAATGAAAAAGAATGCAAATATTTATCGATACATATATCTTTCAACTTACAATATGTTGAATTGCCGTTTGACATAATTCTTGAAATTGATCTAAATTTAAATATTGATTAATTCTTATTGATATTATTTGTTGAAATCGTTCATCATTTTGATATTTTGAACAATATTTTATATATAATTCAATATCATCTGTATTTAACAGTGACCATTGTTGACCATACACAAGTAATAATTCTTTATTTTCTTCATTATCAACAAAATCTAATTCAGCTGAATAAGATTTCCATGATAAACGAATAAATTCAATAAATTGATCACTTTTCATACGTATTTCTGGTAATAACATGAGACAATGAGCAAGAGAATATTGTGGATTCATTGTTGAATAAATAGAACTTTTTGATGATTGTTGTCCATAAGATTTTATTAATTGTTCATATAGATTACATAATTCATCTACAATTTCAGTATATTCAAATGTATAGATTTGTTTAAAACATTTCAGTAATGGTATACAATGTTCTAGATATTTTAACTTTTGATAATAATCTAATTTTTTTATTTCCTATATAAAGTGAATAGTAAACATCAAAATTTATTAAATTTAAACATAAAAAAATATGTATAGATTACCTTGATCGTGTTATGCATTTGTTTGATGATATAAGTATGATATTGTGTGTTAGATGAATACACGTTGAGTAACTGACTCTTGGCTATAGTTGATGCTACATTTTCCGATAATATATATTCTAATATATTTGATAAAAATAGTTCGGGTAAGTTAACACCATTCATTGTATTACATATATCAATTAGAATTTGTAATGATAAAACATTCTGATGACTGGTCTTCTTCATTATCAACCAACCAATTGAAACTAATAAATGGCATGATTTTATTGAAGTATAATGAATTGATGATAATAACTAAAATGTAAAGTAGATAATAAATAATCTATATAAATGTGAAACTTGACTTGAATAATTATATTTAGTTAGTTTTACAACCGCTTAGTAGTTAGCATAGTGCCACTTAGTAGTTACTAGAGATTCAAATAGAATTCATTTCTGAAAGAATCAAAAGAAGATATCACGACCGGTTTCGACCTTTCTCAAGAGTCTCGTCAGGCGGTTTCCTTCAAGAAAGACAGAACTAAGGCACGACAAAGCAACACAATTCAGTCCACACCGTATGAGCGTGTTACTATTCCTTGTTCTTATCGAACAAAGAACGATAACTTTCACACGACGAGAATGGAGCATGAGATCACTGTACATTGCCTTGCTTTTATACATAAACTGTATCTAGTAAGTTCCACTCAACAGTCGTTGAGACAAATGTGAAAAGCACCACACTTATGGTTCGATCTTGGGAAGTGGTCACCCATCTTCTTAATAATCATAGTTTTTGACATCATAGAGAAAGACATTACGTCACAATTCTCTATTTTATAGTGCCTAACTTCATAATAATGCATGGTTTGATCTTCAGAAGTCATGGCCACCCATCCTCTTACTAGTCATGCTCGTTCACAGTGGAGAAAGACAAAATTAGTGATTCTTTCAGAAATGAGTCTCTGTTTGAGTCTCTAGTAACCACGAAGCGGTTGTAAAATTAACTAAATAGGTAATCATTAATTGTCTATATCTAAAAAATATTAGTACATACGGTGACAATATTTGCATCAGTTAATGAAATGGTTTGATCACTTATTTTAGTTACTAAATAATCATATAATGCGCTAAAGAGATGAGTAAAACATATTTTCATGCATCGTTTGTTTTCCAGCAAAAAAGAAATTCAACTTACGTGCCATTATCATTTATCTCAAAATAATATTCCATACTATCCGTATAAGTTGATTTTCTCTTTTTATTTGATGTTTGTAAATCATTTTCTCTCACTGTATCTTGTTGTTGTTGAATAAACTTTTCACAAATGGCAATTATCAACATTTGTAAACGTTGTTCATTTAATAAAAATAATAATTGAAATCTAAATAAATAAAATATTATCGAAAGGATTTATATATAATTAACTTTATATGTACATACGATTTATTGTCGATAATTTGATCAATAAATGTTCGAATCAGTTTCATTTGTGTTTTATGAGATAATCGAAATAAGAATGGTTCAACTTGTTGGAGAACACTTGACGATATGTTTGGATGCTCTAGAAAATCTTTCAATTGGGTTAAAACAATATGAACGTCACTTTGTTCGTCAAATGATAATAAACGATATAAACGTTGACAACACAGTTGAAACTAAAAACAGAAAATTGTTGAGAGATAAGCGAGCAGCAATAAGTTCGTTTCATCTACTGAATAATAAGAGATATAGCGGTGATCAAAAGTATAGCACTCAACAACTATATCAGCGATTGATCTGAAACCTGCTTAGTATAGAGATTCACTTTTAGTTTTAAAATAGTGATATGCTTTCGGTAGAGAACAGCTATAGGTATGAAGTTTAATTGCATATAGACTGAACTAGACAATCTCTCAATCCCTAGAACCAAGTTAAATATTATTTGTACATCTATTTTAAGACATTTCACAGAGCATTCTATGTTTTATTTTCAATATTTGTCTTAATGTGTGAAGTTAAGTTTAGGAAAGTATAAGCGTATTTTACACAAAATAAACTCCAACTATTTCTACAACAATCTAAAAGTTTTGGCTCAAAATATTGATTCTGGTTAATGTTAGACTATTTGTGATGAAAATAATGTGATATAGGTAGGAGAAGAGAAACATAATGGGAAAAAATATGTGGACGTTTTCGTCTGATGGTTAAAAGGAGTACTCTACTACTTTTTATAAAGAAATACTACTACTGCTGCTCACTCGTTGCAGATATTATGCTGAGCATGTTCTTGATTGATACCACAATAATGCGCACCCACTTTTACTAGACTATTCGATGCGCGCATTATTTAACTCTCATATTTTTGCTTTGTAATCTAAAAACAATTGTAGAGTATTGTCTGTCAATGTCTAAGCTAAAACATTGTTTTCTGACTGAAATATTCGAAATTTCATAAGCAAGGCGTCAAACATAAAACGGTCGTAGTTTTGAAGGATTGAGAGCTAAGATATGAAAACTATAGGGAAAGTAGATGACAAAGAAGATGTTTCTCAAGATGAGTCACTCGATCTGTAATCTTCCATTAGCTCAAGAAATAAACAAGCGTTGATTCAGAATTATTAAAAATGCCAGAACTCAGCAACGAGAGAGAATCAGAAAAGTACGTCAGAGCACACTGTTTTCTCTCTTGCGTTCAAACTCGGGACATTAGTTGGTACGTAAACTCAAAACTTTCATCTAATAAATATGAGTTGGTCAAAAACGAACAAGTGTACAAAATAAGTACAAATTTTTCATCTTAGTTCACGTGCCAAGTGCATCAATGCCGTTTAGATGATGTAGTGAATGAATTAAATGGAATTGTAGACTTTATACAGCGTCCGTAAGAATCTCGATTTTAAATAAAAATTAAAACGTAGAGACTCAATTCCAAGTTCTTATCATCAAATGTTATCTAATTGTGAATAATTACAGAGTTCGAGATAGGCCGAAGGTTGGTGTAAGTGGACTTCTAGAACATCTCAAGCGTGTAGCGTGGTAGATAAATTCCAGTTAGTATCAGAGGTTACGATTAGGGTACAGAAGGGTGGTGATTCTCATTCTAAAAAGGTTTTGGACCTGTCAATTTCCTTATTCTGATTCGAAATAATCGAAAATTCGATTACCACGAGCAATTCCATAAAAAATAAAGAATTCTAACGAGAAATGTTCTTTTCTGGATTTTAAGTTGTGTCCTACGCCACTCATTGGACCATTCCACACTTAGTGTGCAGCAATTCTAGAATTTTTTTTACTTGATGCATTTGCACGAAATAATTACACCTCTATAGAGAAAAGCTTGCACATCATCACGAAATCAAATCATACAAAATTTCAACTCAATATCTCTCGTATAATTTTCGAGATATCGAGATGGCTATCATTTTAATTTAATACATGTGTACATGTAATTGAAATCCTGTGAGGAATCGTTCTGTTGAGTTCATACACGTACCAGAATGTTTCTTAGGTCGTCTTCGTTTTCGTTGTCGATGACTTGTCGGTGAAATTCTAACCATTTCTGTTTTGTAAATAGATATCCATTATGATTAAGTGTAGCTGTGTCTTTATCTTTCACTGTTTCATCATCTGTCGTTGACATCGACCAGGTAAAATGTAAATAATTTGAAAATGATGATAAAGCTAGGGCAAACCAACCCATTGATAAATAACACTTTAAAATTGTTTGAGTAACAATTGGACCAAACTAAAATAAATAAATTTTATGTCGTAGTTAAATGGAGATATTAAAATTACCATTTCGAAGAGAAAAACGGTCTTGTATCAAAAACATTGGTAAACATACTTTTGGATATTTTTCCTTTTGTTGTAAAATTTCGTCTTGTAATAATATGAGAGTTTGATTATATTTCATCTCACATTGTTCTAAATGTTGTTTGGGTATGTGTAAATCAAATATTCGATAAGAATTAAATAAACATGAAAGAAATTGAATCAATATTAAACGAATAGCATTTGTTTTACCTAAATATCAACAAATATAAATTTATAATTGATTACTAAGTGTCACATCGTTCTAATACATACCATCAACAGAACTCAATTGGTCTAATAATGATTGCCATATTTCATTAACCACACTATGCTGACACGAATGAATATATTCTTGATACCTAGAATGAGAGAAAAATTTTGCTTAAGCTTCTTTTCGTCATCCTCTAAGATACAAAATAAAGAAAACGGCTTGGCTAGGTAACTCTACTACCGCAATGTCCTTTCGTAACATTTTTTCTGTATTTTGTTTCTTTCATAGTTTTCGAACAAAAGTAGATCCAGAGTTCTGCAACATCTTAAAGTGAAGGGAAAAGTGTGTTGAACATGTTGAGATGTTTCCATACTCCACATAATCTTTTGTTCAAAAGCTGTAATAAAAATACAAACATTTACTTTTTCGGATATGTTTTGTTCGAAAGATCATGTACAGTGTGAAAACATATCAACATGCCCAACACACTTTTCTCTCCACTTTAAGACGTTGCAGAACTCTGAATCTGTTTTTGTTCGAAAACTATGAAAGAAACAATGTGAGAATATATTTTATGGGATTCAGTGATCTATTTACCAAAATGATGTATGGCTTTCATATAGCTAATTAATGAACAATATATTCGTGTGTAATCATCTTTATGAAAGAATACTGAAAGGATTAAGAGAGACAATGTCAACAGTTGATCATGCAGCACATTGGCACAATTCTTGTATTTTTATAACGAGTACAGTGAAGATGTTCACATGTTTTGATTTTGTAGCGAATACAAAACATTTTACCGTTCAAAAATATTTGTTTGTACGTGAATTGTTAAATCTGTGACAAGTTTACAAGCTGAATGCAATTTTTTTGGTATTTTTGCTAATGTTCTCATTCGATAATATAAATCAATATAATCAATAAGAAATATTGATAAAGCATCCTATATTGAAAACAATTCAGTTTAACAGTTACAACAATCTTTCTGTTGTTCTTACTGGATCATCAGAAATTGTACCAAATATGTCAGGTAACATTGTTTCGATTAATGATGGATTTAAATGTAAACATGTAACACATAAATTTGAATACAATTGTTTACTAAAATAGAGAACTAGCTTTACATTTTCAATATATCATACATCAATTATTCCTTTAGTCACAGGTATACTATAAACTGAACTATCATCATTTACACTGAAGATGATATAAAAATTGTTGTAGAGCAAATATGCAATATATCCAAGTTTTTGGATTGTCTGACTGATAGTGAAAAAGATATGAGGAACAAGGCATAATAATTATATATAACGTGAGTGTAACTGAATAAGATTTATGCGTACTTTGATGAATTCAGATATGTTACTAATAATTGTTTCATCCAATTGATTACATCTTCACTTTTCTCATCCATCGTTAATAATTGATCAAACAGATGTCTTTCATCCAAGATCTACACAAGATGAGAATAAAATGGATCACATTGTATATTTGAGTATCTCACTTTTACCTTACCTGTAATATTCGTTGTATTCCATTTAAATAAACCTGTTCATTAGCATTTGTTATTAACATTTTATCAAAATACTGCAGTGAATAAAATATTTCTGATGGAGTTTGTTCTACTAACATTACACAATGGCGATAGAATATTGGAAGAAAATCAATAATAGCTTGACTAGTATTTGGATTCTAGAATAGATTAGTTTCTTGAACTATTAACTAAACCTTTACAAAATATAATCTCTTGATAGTGTCTGACCACAGATTATTTCAATCGAAAAGCAAGAACTTACTTTAATTTGTATTTGAATTTGTTGAAATATTTGTGCACAGGTAAACGATCGTTTCTGTTCATCTTCAGACGTTGTAGAAATGTAATGAATATATTCACGATAAGACGAATTCCACATTCTAAGAAATAAGTACCCATGAGAGTACAAGTCAAGCAATGACTGACTTGGCCATTTTTATTTTTCTATCTAACCAAAAACGTTCAACGTGATTCAAAGTGTGTTATAAAAAAGAACTTTAGATCTTAGACTACAACGTTTACGTAATAGTTCTTAATTCACCCATGATCTGATTAAAAACGTTTTCTTCATCAGACAAAAGTTCAGTTCACACTTCTCGTGTTTCATTTCACGTTAAACATTCGTAAAGCAACATATCAATAGAGGCAGTGATTGCCTTCCATTTATGTATATACAATTTTTCAAAAATACTATTAGTTTAGTTTTAGAGAAACTGTTTCAATTTGCGAATTCCAAAAATATGGACGATGAAAACTTTTGTAGGTAAGCGTCTCTTGCAAGAGAATATTTTCTCTTCAAAATGCGACGTTTTTCAACTCCGTTGCTGTAAAGTTATAACCAAAATGCTTTTAATTAGAAAAGCGTCTCATCTTGTAAAGAAAATATTCAAATACAAGGAGCACTTGTTTACGACAGTTTATATTATCAATATTTTTGAATTCTTAAATCAACAAAGTGTCTCAAAAGTAAAACTAAAAAGTGTACGAAATTTTATTCTAACAACATAGAACTAATCTACGGCTGTTGTTTGGTTTTTACACTCTTTTCGATGGTGTATTTAAAAAAAGAAGAATTTATCGATGTTTGACTTAAAACTTTATGCTCACTCCATGAAACATTTAGATTTAAAAGTACGGTAACGATATTTTTGGAAATTTCGTTTAAGTAAATGGAAGGTAAACACTGCCTCTGTTGATATGTTGCTTTACGAATGTTTAACGTGAAACGAAACACGAAAAGTGTGGACTGAATTTCTGTCTGATGAAGAAAAAGTTTTTAACCAGATCGTGGGTGAATTGAGAATTATTATATGAACATTGTAGTCTAAGTTTTTTGAGGTACTTATAAATCTCCTCCCATAATGGAACTCTGCCACAGTACTGGTTTTAGTCTAAGAAATACTTTCGATCGTTACTAGGAAGCAGAAAACTTATCGCAATAGGAGAGCATCCATAAGAACTCGACTAGTTGGACAGAATAAAGCGCCAAGGCTAGTGTACTTTGAAACTTTTAGAGTGTCCTTGATTAGATAGAAAAAGATAATTGAAAAGTCGGCTAAACTATTATCAAACACTTTATGACATGTTTTTTGTATCAACGTACCGATTGAATAAAATCTGATTGATTATTTCATCAATAATCGGTTGTAATTGTTTATTTTCATATCGAACTTGGACACATAAACCGAACAACGTTTTACAATAAGAGGTCAACACCTAGAACAACAACAAATATGGAGTTATAAACACTTTCTTCGCTTACTATTGAACGTTCGACTACTAGACAAATGAAACTATTGAATCTTGGTTACTTGATTGTCTACGAAAAATTAAAATTAAATATTCTATGAAAATATCTAAAAATTCGTTTTTTCTTTAATTTTCCAATGATTGTTTTGTGATAATGCTTATTGATTTCGTTTATTTATGTTATTTTGATGCAAAACAAATCATCACACTATGCTAGAGCAATTGAGAATAAAACACACTACTTAAATAATACATCATCTAATCCTCAATCATCTTTCTCATTATATGATTTCAATACGGTATATAAACAATATACAATCACATGTAAAAATCAAATATCAACGAACATCAATGTAGATGGAATTTCACATCAACAACGACTACCTTCTATTTCTCAAAAAACAGGTAATGATAGAGACTTAGAGCACATTAAAATAATTCATTATGAACATGCACAACGACTGAATAAGACGAAACGCAACTGTATACTTCATCTTCCACCGATACGCAATGAATGGGGTAGAAAAAAACAGACAATTATTAAAAACTTATGTTCTTTAACTAATTTTTATTGACTGCACATACCTGTCCGTAAAAACTTGGTTATTTTGTCTCATGCTAAAGTCATTAGACGCTCAAAAGTCGTAATTTAACGTTTTCTTGCACATACATTTCTCTTCCACTCTATCAAACTTTTTCTTTAGAAAAACAAAGAATTTTGAGCCTAATTTCATCATAAATTAGTTGAGATTCGTTTTTGTTGAATATATAAATGAGTTGTTCAAACTAAAAGCAGTCTAAAATGTCTATGAGTACTGTAAACAGTGACAAACACATGATTTTTACTCTATGTTATGTTAAAGGAAACGCTCTTGATGTCGAAAAACAGGTGGAGAGAAAACATCTGTTTCAAAATTGTTCAAGTAAACAAGATCGTTTTCGACAAAAGAGATTGTTGGATCAATATCGTTTATTTGACATGAAAGAGAGTATAATGAAAAACTATACAAATAATGGCGTGAGAGATGGACGAGATGACGTCGTCGAAACTCCAATAACACATGTAGTCAGAGTACCGAATTGTATTCAGATAGATAAACAGCGAAGTTCAATACATCATGAAGAATGGAAAAAAGCAACACTTAGCAAACAGTTACATGTGAATCGTCAAAGTAAGACAAAAATCTGCTTTGCACTTTAGACGGTTAATCCTCATATACTAATGTGAGTATTAATCGCTATTACCACTTTTGCGTTTTTGAACTAAGAGTATTGTAGTACAAAAATCAGAGGCTTCGGCGAGGATAGGCACACACATTTCGGAGTAAAAATTCTTTTTTTTCGAAAGTTGACGGCCTATTTACTCTTAAATTTGGCGAAAAATTTAAACGCAGAGGAGTGTTCTCTCCGCTCGCCTAGTCGGAGCACCGCTGTGGACAATGTTGTTCCAAACTCAATCATAAAGTTCATGCAATTTAAATATTCGGCATAACTTTACTAAAGTAGTAGTCCCTAGTTCGTAGTTCAAAACAGAATTCAATGAAGAAGCCTAAACTGATCACATCAAGCGTGCATAAGATCCGATAAAAGTCAAATACGGTCATCTAGCGCTCGTGAGTTCTTTTAATATTACGAAAAATTATTTTCATGTTTAGATAGTTCGCGATCAATAACTCAGTTGAAATTAGTTACGGAAAAATTTAAAAAATCTAATTTAAGCGAAACTGAAACATCGACATCAATAAAATCCAATATTGAAGAAGGATCTCAATTATCGTTAGAGGATAAATATCGATCGATCATGATTAACTTAGAATCGAGAAAAAATAATGTAGCGAATGATTATGTTCTTGATTATGACAGACCTGTTCACATTTCCGAACTAAGATTCAACGTTGATTCACAACATTCAACATTAATCTCTGCACGTTATTCTAAGAAGATTGAAACACTACCAAAAATAAATATAGGAAAACAACAACAACAAAAGCAGATCCTCTATGACAATACACAATTGCCCTCAATTTATGCTAACAGGAAGCAGTTTATTGATGAGACTCTTGCATTATCTAATATCAAAATGAAGCAAAATAAAATGATTCAATTGATAAGAATTAAAAATACTACACAACAAGATGAATTGTCACCGTTAGATGAGCATAGTTTATCAAAAAATGATAGAGAAAGTGAAGAAAAATATCAACAAGATTTAATAGCATTGCAGAAAGGTATACACTCCTTTTTTTGTACAAGATCCAATCCACTACACTGGACATAATCTTTTCAAATACTTTCAGAAACGTTCTATGATTGTCAAACGTGCCTGAACGATATAAGAGTTTCACTGTTAACCACTAAACAATCAACAATGGCCATGATACTCTATAAATCATTGGTGTCCATGCAATTACCATCTAGTTTACATTACATATCAAAATATAAAACTCCAAAAAAGTTTACTATGTACAAGAGCTATATTAGATATTCAATAGGGAGCAATAGTCTAACTAAAAATTTGATCAAATTTTACCAATTGCCAAAAAATATTCTTTATTCTAAATCCACTGATACTCAAATACTGTTGTTAACAGAAGATCTACAATCTGTCAAAGAAGTAATCGATCATATGCGGATAGTAACAGTAACACCATTTGAGACAATATCAGCGAGAAAAGCGTATGATTGGAAGAAAACTCTAGGTGATGATGGTTCTAGAAGAAATGAAATTCTAGTTGCGCTCGATATCTGTGAAGCCGAGTCTTATGGAAGTACAAAATCAACATCCACCACTAAAATAGTTGAAGTAGTTGTAATATCTCAAAATTTAAAGTGACTTGACTTGTTACTTTCTTTTTTTTGGTTACCTTTCAGAAGCAAGCAGAAAAGGTCTCTTTGGATACAGACGCAAATGGTGATGCTATTAATCCAGATAAATCACTTAAACGAATAAAAATGAGATCTAATGTAACCGAGAAAGCCCTTCTATCATTTGATAACGCCCTTCATTCGAGTACACAAATACAACACGAAAATGTAGTTTCAATGTCAAACATCGATCTACACCATTCAAAAGATGATGTATTCTCTCAAAATGAATCCATTTCGTTTGTAGAAAAAAATCGAATCATCGATACAAGAAAAGAAAAGAGCGTACAAGTATCAAAAAAAGTCCTACATAAATCAACTGATGAAAAAGATACCATTTCCCACGAGAAAAAGATTAATGCAGGGGAAAATGACAATATAGTTAATAATGGTGATAAAGTGACAAAGAGATTATCACAAGAAATGTACGAAAATAAATCAGAACAGATACCAACAAGGAAAGAAGGTGAGATTAGTCAAACACCGGATAAAGTCGAAACAACTATTTTAAACAATAGTACGGCAAACTCTCGATAAATGACTTCTAGTTAAGCTTTGCTAATGAATGACTTTTCATTCACGGTGTACAAAGCATGCTTTTTTATTAGAAGAAACTGCTTCCGGATCGAAAATTTCCAACGATTTAACAGATGATGGTACTGATGAAGCGAAATATAATTCGAAGAAGGATCCTCTCACATCCAAATCGCTAGTGGCTGACATACCATCAAAAACAAACCAAATGAGTGATCAAGTGGTAATCAAAAAGGTCAGTTGTCAATTAATAGACGATGAACAGTCAAAGAAAAAAAACGAAAATGAAAAAACAACTAATGATAACATGGACAAAAACATCGATGACAAAAAACTATGCATACACGAGGAATCTGAAGGTATTTTAAAGAAAAAAAGATCCGCTTTTTATTTTAACTGCGGTGGACAGGATTCCAATAAGCATTTTGTTGAATTCTTGTGAGGATTCCAATAATACCAAATGCTTTAGTGTACGCGATTCATATTTAGAACGGCAGCTGATAAACGTAAGTGCTAAAAGTCATGGTGGGAATACAATATCTTACGAAAGCGGTAGAGCAGCAAAAATACCACAGGAATTACTAAAATCTAGAACGCATCGAGCAAAAAGGGTAAAATCTTGGGTAAGTCGAACATCGTTTGACGAAAGATTGACAGACAAACATTCATTATGCACACAAATTATGAAAAAAATTAGTAGACCAGATAAAGGTTTGGACAAACACGAGCATTCAGAGCTAAAACAAACGTTACAAGAAAAAAGTTCTAAAAAAGGTAAAAAATATCTGTTTAATATAAAACATCAACTGCAATGTTTACATTACTTTTTTAAGTTACCACCGTTATTGAACATTTTGAACAGATCACTCGATTGCAAAAAGAGTATGGTATTTTAGACAAAGGAAAAGAATGTCATCTACAATCAAAATCTGATAAAAATACAAATATTTTTCAAATGCCAGATATTAGTGTAATCAGACTAGTAGACACACAATATCAAAATGAAATGAAATCAATCAAATCGCTTCAGAATTTTAATTCGATGTATAATAAACAATTTCAATATCAAAATCATCAATCTCAATACTCTTTAACAAATCCACAAATTCCTAATTTGTAAGTTGTAGCTAACGCATACTGGGTAATTTTAGCATCACAGTTGCTTCTAAAATAATCTTTTATTCATCAGTCATTATCATTCTGTCATGATAGCCTCATAGTCTATTTTCTCGAGTAAGTTTTTCTACTGTTTCGATTTACCAGAGAAAATAGTCGCTATTTCAGAATTCTATAACAAGAAGCGAGAAAAGAGCACTTTCGTTTTTTGCCGATATCGCTGTCTACAGTATAATACAACGACGAAGAAGACAACTTTAGTGGAATTTGTCACCGGTATTAAATCGATGTTTTTGTTTCGATTTTCTTAGCAGTTCGATTGAAATCTATATTCAGTTGAAACCCATGATGCCAAAACCGAAAACTTATTGTTACAAAATGCTCATTCACAGACCCGATTCTAATACTCGAAACAATCAATTTCGTCAGAATTATCCTCAAAAGCAAAATTCATCCTGTTGCTCTCAAATTCAACAGCAACAAAACTCGTTCAAAATAGAACTCGCATCACCAATAGCTATCAAACACGAATTAACACCACTATTACCACAAAATTCTCATCAAACTCAAAGACAAATGAAACAAACAGTCGATGAAAATGATCGTTCAAATTGTCCATTATCATCTTGTCTTTCCTGTTATAATAATAATCCTCCATCGAGTCTACTCATATTCAAAACCCATTCAAAAAAATATGATCCAAAATACTACAAAGATATTCAAGCGGTCACATTGAAATACACTGAAGATTGTCAATTAGCTCGAAACAGGTGGATGTCACAATTGACAACATCACCCGATAATCCATTACTTTACATCAATGATGGTAATCATTCTCAACACAATTAATCAATAATTCAAGAACAGATACGAAACTATGAACAGCGATATTATAATGACCACCAGGAGTATCATAAAATATCTCGTTGTCTCATTCTGATTCTCAATAGAAAATTTCTTTATCAACAACCATCATCACAAGGACAGATTCAGTCGTATTAACTAGTCTACATACCATTATCAACCACAAATTTACAGCATCAAACGTATCAATAATTTCTATTTTGTTGTAGATCCTAACGATACCGCTTACTCTTAACTTTATCAATAGTATGAAAAATTTAGATCAACTCTCGCAACAGTAAATTTGACAATGTAATCAATCAGTGCAATAGACACATTAATTATGATTCACTAAAGAAAAATAAACACATTCTACTCTTGTATGACGACGAAAAATAAAAGAAACAAAATAAACTCAAAAATGCTAAAGATTTCAAAAACAAACTTTTAACTATGTCAGATAACTTTTTCTACTCCTTCGATAAATATCGATGTTAATAAAATGAAATTGTTTTCTAATCAACAATCAGACAAATGATTCACACTTTTTCTTTTACAAAGTTTTACTCGACAGTCTACAATAACGAATTTCTTTGTCTATTACCTTTTGCGTATTTGAATATACTCGAATTGATGTTAAAAATTTCTTGGCAATCATTTGAACAAGTTCAATATTGGTACTATGAGATGATAATGATACTTGAAATAAATCACACTAAAAATGGATAGAAAAATAGTGTGTTAGACTATTTATATATCCATCAATGTATACTCACTAATAAATCAAATTTGTATTCGACTGCTTGTTTTAATTTTGATGAATTTCCAATTTGTAGAAAACACTCAACTGCTATCAATGCATCATTACCCAAATAATTCATTGTTTGAATTAGAGTCTAAATGAATATGGAAATAATAATGATATTTATTAAAAAGAAATAACGAAGAATAAATTGAAGACTAACCTTGACAACGGATGGTTTAATAACAATGGATGTGTTTTGTTCATTTAAATCTTTCAAATAATAAACTAATTCATTCCATACAAGAGAATTTTCAGCATCATTTAAACCAGATCTTAATGAAATGAGAGATTTTTAGAAGAAACTAGTCTATTACTGTGTACTATTGTGTTAGATATCTGTTCAGATTCAAAACCCAACTGTGCACCAGTACTCTCTCTAAATATTCATACCGTGGACCTCTTATGGGCTACAGTTACAGAGCCGTTCAAATTCGAAATTCATTCTGACAACATATAGTTCTCTTCTAAATGTGTTTTTACTTTCTCATTATTCTTCGACAACTCGAATTTAAATTTCTTACATGATTAAGAAAGGGAAATAAATTGAGTTCATCTCGCTTTCTCAGTCGCGTGTAAAATCTAATCTAGTTTCATTCTAAAGTTCTGTTTCATATTTCATCCGTTTCTGTGACAAAAACGGAAATATCCAAACTTATCATCATTTTCTTTTTTAAAACGATGTGGAGTTATCTCATGAAAGTTACAATGTTCTGTAACAAATATAGTTGAACAGTCTTTCACCTTTTTTTTTCTTCAAAGAATAAAATCAGAAAGGTACGATAACTCTTATACTATATGTCAGCACAAAAGAAAAGAATCTATAACGGATGTTGAATATCATCAACAGAAACAACATTATGATAAAAACAGCATACAATCTCAAGAATTGCAAGTTTCGTTTTTGTTTGTTTTTTAAAACTTTAACCCGATATTTTTGAATGAATAATTAATAAGTTATGGATAAAATAATGACAATAAAATAAGTAAGCATGTTTTAAAGATATAGAAAATAAAAAATGGGTAGATTAATGTTTTAAAACATGCAAAAAACAATTATCCGTCAGCTACAGCTATCTTTCGAGAGGTTAAATACGTACACATCTTAGACAAATAAGTATAATTTTGATCTTCACTTTCTCTGAAACTTCGTTCAGTGATCAATTTCCTTTTTTTTCTTCTCCAAACACACTTTATTATAGAAAATTTCTGTTGTTGTTCACTCATGTCATATTTGTATGCTCCTAGAAGTTCTTCTAAGATAAATCGACAGAAACTGAAATGCTAGAAATCATTATGAGTTTTCAAACAGGACACATGCTGATACTGTCAGATTAATAGTGTACTTCGAGCTGCACTCATGTAGGACAAATGTGTCACTTAACTTGAAGTTCTCAATATCGACATGTGTCCTGTTTGAAAATTCATAATGATTTTCTCGCATCTCACGAGGAAACCATCCTAGGTGGTAAATCGCTTTTTGATCGAAATCCAGTGGATTATAGGTTATCGACCATGCTAATTTCAAATATGACTATGGAGATTCCCCATCGCCTTTCGAAGATCTGTTTTCCTGGAAAAACACTCTTTCAGAAACTCTAAAAAATAACCAAAACCTTTCTTAACGAGGCATGATTGTAGCTCACAAATTTCTGATTAAAATTAGACATCTCCCAGCTCTACACAACCTTTCTTTGCAAAGTTATAAAATTTACAAGAAAAGCTCTAAATTAATTTTTTTGCTTCTTACTTCTGTAGCTTTGTGCTGATAATGAATATTTAGGGCTTTTCTTGTAAATTCTCTAACTTTGCAAAGAAATGTCTCATTTTAATCAGAAATTTGCGCGCTACAATCATGCCTCGTTAAGAAAAGTTTTAGTTATTTTTTAGAGTTTCTGAAAGAGTGGTTTTCCAGAAAACCGAATCTTCGACGGACTATGTGAAATTCCCATGGCCATATTTGAAATCAGCATGATCGATAATCTATAACCCACTAGATTTCGATCAAAAAGCGATTTACCACCTCGGATCCCTCGTCAGTTTCTGTAAATTTATCCTAGAAGAACCTCTCGGAGCAAATAACTGTGACATGGATGAATGATATGGATATGATATGGATGAATAACATCAAAAATTTCCTATAAATAATGTTGATGTCGAGAAGAGAGCCATGGATCACTGAACAATATTTTTTCTCGTAAGGCGTAGAGTTTGTTCACATAGAAATCATGAAACGCAGTACTTCATTGACACAGATAAAAACAATAAATTCTCATTATTTAAAAATAAGCAACAGTTTTATTTTGAATTATAGCATTAGCAAACAGAAAATCATTTTCTATCTTTTTTTTAATTTTTTTGGAAAACAATGACTTTTTAACAAGCAAGGGTGTAAAAATATTTTTTCTAAATTAATGTATTTTTGTTTTCCGCTATTTCGTTAAAATCTAAAAAAAGAAAATATAAATATTGGTCCAATGAATAGAGAGAGAGAGAGAGAGAGAGAACAACAGTTGAAAATACACTTTTTTTGTTTTTTTCAAAAGAGCAATTATTCGTAATAATAATAATCGGATCGAAAACTTCTTCATCAACACTAACGTCACATGAAACTTTAACAGGTCATAACGGATGACATATAAACAAAAGCAATACAATTTAATCATTCCTATTATTCTTACTAATTTTTAGTATAAAATGACTTTTATTCTTCAACTATAAATTAGAAGTTTACATTGGACATTTGATTGAATGATATTTAAAAGTGGTTAACAAGTAATCTCAAAGAATCAGTAATTTTTAAGTAAGTTGAATTCAACGTGTTCTTATAATTCAAATATAATTAGAATTTTCTCATTGGTAGCACCTTCATTGTAGATTAGACTAACTCAAACAAATTCTTCACTTATTTAATCAAAAACTTATATCGTGATTTTTTCAATACAACGGATGTTTTAAAAATAAAATGACTCTCACTATTCATATTAAGACGATATAGAATCTCAAGCCAATGTTCACATTTTCATCAGATATACATAGTTTTACACTTGAAAAATCTACAATTGTTCATTGTACATTTGAAGATCGATATGCTCTTATATGTCATATAATTTTTTAAATTTTTTAATGCATCGGAACACTTATACGTATGATTATTTAAAGAGAAAAACACCGTTATATCGACTTATGAAATTACATCACTTTTGACAAATAACTATTGGTAGCAAAGAGGAAAAAAAAATATGAGATTACAATTTAATATCATCAAAATTGTTAACATTTTTTTTTCTTCTTCTTCTCCCTCTAGCCAAGTTTAATTTCCATGTTCAAAAAAAAAAAACAGCAGAAGAGGGGGAAGGAATATAAACGAGAATGCTGAATTTTTGAACAGTTTCAATTTTTTTGCACTTGTGATTGTTGAAACAAATACATTCTATGATTTTACAAGACTATACTAATAAAACGTAAGGTCGAAGATACTAATTTATAATAAGAGAGAATTTGTTGACAGTATTAATCTGTGGTGCAAAAGTAATTGTCGAAATCTCCAGTCATGATTCTCGGCTCAGGAACATCATAGAAAGTTCATTCTTTTTCCGGTTGAAAGAGAAAAGTCTGAAGTTCAAAGAACATAGGAAACAAAATTTTTGGAATTGACTTTGACGAAGGAAAAAGTACAATACAAAATGTCGTTAAAAAAGCTCTTGCAACTTTTGTTGTCTTCAAACGTATCTCTCTCATTAAATCTATTTTTCTCTATAACAGAATACGTTTGAAATTATAGAACTAGAAGTGTTTTAATCATTCTTTTAAATGATGTATGGTAAATTATACTTTAATCCACTTTTCGATCGGAACTTTGCAAGTTTTTCATTAGTTTCAAAAAACAGGTAATTAGACTTAATTAATAATTTTCAGATACTGGACGACTTTTGCTCCCTTTTCTAATATACATTTCCTGGAACAGTATGTAATTCTCTACAAATTCACATTAGTTTTAACCTTTACTAACGTGTTTACAACTCCGAATAACGAATTTTTCTTCATGTCCCATCTTTTCTATTCAAAGTAGTGCTTTCTATCAAAACTAAGACTTATAATGCGCTTTATTTACCGTTTAAAGAATTACTGAGAAACTTCTTAAAGTAGGGAAGTCGATAGAGTTTTGTACAGGCTACTTTCTCATCTATTTGGTTTTCAAAGAAAACGTTTTTCTTCAGGCTGTAGTAAAAAAATTTAGTGACATTTTGTATCGTACATTTTTTCTTCCTCAAAGTCAATCCCAAAAATTTTGTTTCCTATGTTTTTTGAAGTTCAGGCGTTGCTCTTTTAACCAGAAAAAGAATGAATTTTCTGCGATGTTCCTGAGCGGAGAACCATGGCTGGAGATTTTGACAATTACTTTTGCACCCCAGTTAGTGGAATGATGACTGTTTATGAAGTAAATTATACTGACTAGGATACGGAAGTACCTTAGAAGTACTGATTTAAATTAAACTTCATTACTTATCTAGTCGATAAAATAGTTTATCTTGACGATTTTAAAACATCTGTAATGTTGTTAGTTGACCTCTGTTCAATGAGTCTTAACTAACTGGTAATTTTAAATTATCACAACGAAAAGTAGTGTTAGAGTCATACTGCTAAATTTGAACACGATAGTTGATATATCAGAAAAGTTCCATGGCAGATATGGGCGAGTATTATAGAATTTTTCAAAGTATTGATGCAGCTTTTTTCCGTTCTACAAATATATGCAAGACACTATGACTTTTTGTGGGTTTTTTTTGACACCAAAAAAGTGAAAGAATTTTAAAACACTCACTTCTTGACTATTTGTCTGTCTAATAAAACATAAAAAGGCATAGTGATTTACAGCGTTTATCGAACATGAATGAAAATCCGTTCTGTTGTTTGGATAGAGTTACTCAAAAAATGTATACTTTGAAACTTTTTAAGAAATCTAAGCTGAGAAACTGCCTTTTATAAAGCTGACGAGAGAACCTTTTCAGATGTCAATCTCCGATTTCAACGATCTTTTGCCCATAGATCCTATATAGAGATCTAGCAATAAAAGAATTTGGGTCCCTATTGTTTCATTCAAAAGTGATGAATTTCTATTTTGCCGATACAGTGCATTACATAAAACATTGAAAAATTTATAATTCACTGAAAACACGATATGAAGGACTGAATTTTTTTCCTGTATCAGTCTTAACTGTCTGTTCTAAATAATAATTTAGAATACTTTTCAGCTACATTATTTTTTCATAGTATATACTTTGAAAAATTGAAACACTAAAGTAATCTCATCTACTACGTCACTCGTTAAATTTAAACAAAAAGGAAATAACTTTATTTTCTTATTTTTTGTTTTCAAAAAATCATGCGTAGTTAATACTATTGATTATTAGCATGTAGAACTTTTTCAACAAAAGAAAAAGAATTAAGCTCTTTCAAATGGATGTTATTAACGTTCGTAATACTTGCGTGTTCATAATCTCAAAATTATTGCATTTTCCGTCTATGATTAGATTTGTGTGCTATTTTTAACCAACTAAACGGTCTAAATTCCTGTTTTTAGTGCAAAATGCACCTAAAAATTATTGAAATTATTTTCGAATCGAAAAACCATTTTTCACCAGTTAAAGCAGCTTTTAACGGTTTGATTGATTGAGAACCATTTGTTCTCATAAGGGTTTTATATAATATTGTCACAGGACATAAGGTATGTTAGAGAAGTATTAACAAACTGTCACATTGAATTAAAATTCTATTAGTAAAAACAAATTTGGTGAAACTAACATTTAATCGAAAAAAGTGAAAATCTGACAATGGAACTTCATCCGGTGTTCGCTTTTTTCTTGAAACTGATTGGATTGTATATTGACATTTTTTGACTTTTTTACGTTTTTTTTATAAAACTAAGTATATTTAATATAATTGAAAAACATTTTTGTAAAATCATTTTACATAAAAAGTGAGCTGTCGATACTTCACAGTATCATCATCAGGCTAAAATGACTGTCGAATTTAGAAGAGAGATGGTTATATATATACTTGTTGAAACTAGTATATATATAACCATCTCTCTTCTAAATTCGACAGTCATTTTAGCCTGATGATGATACTGTGAAGTATCGAAAGCTCACTTTTTATGTAAAATGTTTTTCAATTATATTAAATATACTTATTTCGATTTGATTGTAGATTATTTTTGATATTAATCCCGAATATGTTTGTCCATTTTGGTTGATGCATTTTGTTCAAGTAGATCTCTGGATATTCACTCTAAATTTCATGATAAACAATTTCTGAGTCACAAAAATTTACTGAAAATAACGCTGTACAGTTTATACTCCTGAAAAAAACTAAAATAGTAAATTATTATGACTCATCGCAAGCTTGTTCGGTCGATCTTAAGAGTCATCGAGCTCTACAAACTGGAGGCGTCAGAATTTGTTCATCATAAAAAATTAGAGTGAGTGTCCAAAGATTCACTTGAAAAGAATGTATTAGTCAAAATAGACAACATGTTCGTGATTAATATCAAAAATAATCTATAATCAAGTCAGTTTCAAGAAAAAGGCGAATATCTAAAGAATTTTTCTTGTAAGAGGTCATCATTATGGTCTGCTTTGCTGAATTCACTATACAATTAGTTTTGTTTCCAGTTTAGGTCACGAAAAATGGCGAGTAGTAGACGTTCATCGGTGCAACCCAGGTCTTCTACAAGTCAATTTTCTTCGCACACCGTTTTTACTGCTACTGCTAAAGACTATGAACGTATGAAAATGGCTCAAAAACATGAAAATAAATTAGAACTTGAATATGGAAATTTGGAACGTAAACTGATATCAAAATCGAAATGGAATGATCGTGCTGCTCGACAATCTCTCTGTATTAAACCGACGACAAGCACTAATGGAGGAGCAGATGTTTCTTCCATTGATAATTGGTTACAACATGAACGAGAAAAAGCACAAAAGATAATTCAATCTAAACAATCAGCAAATGAACATATTCGTCGTTTTTCTGTTTCACCGAATGCAAAACCGACTGGTGGTAGCAGAAGAAAAGCTTCGACAACTCAACCCATGACATACGTTCGAAAAATATCAACAACAACATAAAACATTGAAAGTACACTTTTATTGAATTGTATAATTTTGTAGATACAAACGACGATCGATGTTGTGCAATTGTCTATCACCAATTTAAAAAATATCGTTTTTTTTTCTCTTCGATTGTATGAACTTTTTAATATTTTATAACAGAGACGATCATTCTTTTCTCATAAATTCTAGAAGTGTATGTCTATTTAGAAGTTTTGAATGTCTTAAAATCGTAGAGAACACGATCTCTGTCATTCAGAAAAGAAACGACATTTAAATCTAAGCTTTGTGTTAAAAAACAGCAGAATGCTTATACTAACAGAAAAAACACCTATGAAATTGTTAATGGACAATTATACAACATTGGTTAGCATTTATCGGTAACGACTCTTAATGAATTAAAAAATGTCATTTCTTTTACTGTAATAAAAACGAAAGTTTGAATCTAATTCTATTTTTGTACTATGAAAACATTTTAAATCGAATGAATAAAATACGATTTTATTATTCTTTTATCTATTTGATAAGGAAATACAGTGGATATCCATCATCATTATACTTTTTTTGAACATTTATTATAGCTGTATATTTTGCTCGATCAGATAATTCTGTTCTCAGGGTGAAATTCCGTTACGTTATTTTTGATGTTTCGCACTCTTTCAAACTTTCAAAAGAAAGGATGTTCAGTGCTCTTCGCCAATTTTTGAATTTGTAGATGAAATCTTGTTTAACGTAATCAGGCACTCTCCATTCGAAGATCTCTCATTTATAGGGGTGGGACAATTTTCGAAATATCCGCTCTATACGCAACCTAGCGGTAGAATGCTTTAATTTGAAAATCTTGATATAGTGACTTTAAGTCGGTTTGAAACTAAAAGTAAACATCACCACTCGACTCAGCGTGACCGATTACCCCTATCTTCACCCATTTTAGGTTCACCCAAGGTCAACTGGCCGAAATCGGGGCTCTTGGGAAACTGCTTATAGCTCCTGAATCGTAAGAGGTAGAGAGTTAAGACTGGCCTAGAATTGTTGATCTCGGTTCGGGCTATCGATTGCACTGTTTGAAAATCAAAATCCATCGTACGATCCAGGAACGGCGATCTCTTTGACTTTGCATCGAAAAGCTTACCATGGTAAACCTTACCTGGAAGCTTAGTTTTTGCATACAATTACGCGTCCCCCGATGTTCTCTATCCAACGGTGAAAATCGCATGTCTCTAGCTCTTACCCTTCAAAAGTTATAAGCAATCTACCCAGCCGCCTTTCTTTTTTAAAACGATAAAATGGTGACCAGTTCTTTCTACCAGTTCTTAGGAACTACTGAAACTGTAACTGTCCCGCCCCTACTCGTTTAACAGATATTTCAAGAAAATTTAGTTATAACCCCTATAAACCTCATATTAAAAAGACGTAGTTGAACATTTTCACACTGTTTCCGCTCATCGAAAAAATTTGGGAAGGGGGTGGAGAAGGTCTCATTTTATCAGATAGCGTTTTAACTACAAATCAAAACATTGAAGAGCTAGCTCCTTTTGGAAGAATCGGCGAGATAAAATTGATTTTATGCGAATGTGTACACACGGATTAATAGACGATTTAGAAAAAGCTTCAAAAATTCAATTTATGTACACAAATTTTGACATTATATGTTTTCTTTTAACAGTTCTGAATACAATTAATCTGTCGAACAAGTTTTCAACTTTAGAACTTTTTTCAGAACACATTTTTTATTGTTCTATGATGATCAAAATCTAAAAGTTTTCTAGAACGGTTCGCTGCAACTTTTTTTAGTATATCTGGTAGAGGAAAGTACTTTCAGAACTAGTTTTTCGAACGAAATCACTCATCATCTTACAAATGTTCTTACTTTTTTTTATTAATTAATAAACCGGTTAACCAATCGAATAACATTTGTTTTTTATCTGGTAATTGAAGATCATTCCAACATGAGCGACAAATTTCTAAACGACGATTCAATGATAATTGACGATCCGTTAATTTTGTATAAAATCCTAAGAAAAAATATCGACATGTTTACAGAATGTTTACAATGAATGTTCAATCAAATTGCTTACCTACACCGGCCTTCATTATAAAGAAATCTAAATGGACACCAGTACTTTATCTAAAATAGACGATTAGAAAATCGATGTAGTTACGAAGTTCAAGTTTCTAAATTATTGTGTATACATATGATTTTAGTCAAAAAATAATATCATTTATTATCATTAATCAATCGATCTAAGCTCCTTTTGCATGCGTTGTTTTAATTTTAGTTTAAATATGTGAACAGTTTTGTGGAATTCCAAAATTGCTTTCTATTACGAAATGTACACTTTATCAATTAGTTAGAACCAAGTTTATTTTCAAAGAATGAATATATGGCACGTTCCTGTTTCATGAAAATGCAAAAAATTTTCACTGAAATGTAAACGTTTTACCAACCAGGATACACAGACACATCAGTTATTAATATACTATATAGCATATTGGTAATGATTCATTCTCACCCTTCGCTACTATCGTCTATACATTCCGACTCACATGTTGGTAATAGCTCTCTAACATATATATATAGGATGGATCAGAAATCCTGAAGCATTTTTGTTGATTAAATTTTTATTTGTATTGACTGGTGTCTAAAAATTTAATATTTAGTGCAAGAGATAGAGAAAAAAATGTGTAAGATGAAATGTACATAATGAATACGTTGATATAGTAAGGTAATAGTGATAATAGTGTAGCTGACCCTGTCACTCTACACGTATAAAGGTTTATCGTACATTGTAACCTTTCTGTTGTGAAACTGACTAAGCTTTAAAAATTTATTATTATCGACTAAATTTTAGGAGGGATTATCAACTAATTTTTTTGAGTTGCTCAATACAATTCCCTCCCCCCTTCCTCCAAAGTTATATCGAAACGCTGTTCGTGTCTTTCAACTGTTTACACTTTTCACCTTTTTCTGTATGCATAGTAGTAAAGGTTGAAAGCGTTGAAAACTAGGAAAGATTGAATAATACTAAAATCACTCGTTGAAGTTTGATCGATGCTGTCATATTTTCTTAGTAAATGCTGCACAATCTGATACCATTTGTGTTCCAAGTGAAAGAAAGCCCAAAATTGACTAATTTACGTAGAGAATCCACATTATCGGTATTTTGTTTTCAAAGTCAAAATTAAAGCTGGGCATTTTATACTAGAAAATGCAGACAATTTCTCGCTTTATAAGATCACATACACCAGAAAATAAAATTATAAACGTAATTTTAAAAGCATAAAATAGAATCCTAAGAAACTTTCATGAAAAACTCTTTCGAGAACCAACCATCTTGACTTACGAGGAACCTTTTCCAACTGTCTAATCGTTTTCTGGTTGAAACCTAGTGGGTTATAGGTTATCGACCACGCTGATTACGAATATCCATATGAGGCGAGTCGTTAGGCCTTCCTAGAGCGGTTTTCTGATAAACCAGTTTTCCAGAAACCTTGAAAAATCCCTAAAACTTCCTCTTAATAGATCACGATTGTAGCCCACGAAATTCTGATCAAAATGAGGCATCTTCCACCACTGCATGACCTTTCTTTAAAAGTTATAGAATTTACAAGAAAAGCTCTAAATTAATTTCTTCTTATTTCTGTAGCTTTGAGCTGACAATGAATATTTAGAGCTTTTCTTGTAAATTCTATAACTTTTAAAGAAAGGTCATGCAGTGGTGGGAGA